TCCCCCTGAGTATTTTGTTTTGTTTCCTTTCTCACATTGTTTCGTTTTAATATTTTATAGCAAATTACTTGGCCGAAGGCAAGCGGCGGCGTCAGACAGAACAGGGTATGGTAGGGGGTTGTCATGACTGCCACTGCCACTGCCACCGCCACCCCCACCCCCATAACCATTACCATTTCCACTTCCACAGCCTTCGCTCGGATCCCTACTCCCAGGGCCCTGCATCCAGTGCATTGAGGTAGGCGCGTAATTTTATACATCGTTTCCATTAGGAAGCAGTAAAATGTGCTAGAGCCAGACAATAGGGTCCGCCGAGCGGCCAAGAAAACAATTCAACTCTGGGAAGAGGGATACGCAGACACAAATAGGGACAGGTCCGCGACAATGATACCCAAAGGTTTGGAAGGGCGGGTGGGTGTAAAACCGTACAGAGAGTGTCTAGACTCTAGAAGAGGCTAAAAATAAATCAGGTGGGACCTTTGCCACGTGTACGGAGTTTTTTTGTTCACGGTTCGCGATGCGTTAGGGGCCAACTCGCGCTTCTGACGCCAGCAAGCACCAAGCCCGGCTAGCTCAGTCGGTAGAGCATGAGACTCTTAATCTCAGGGTCGTGGGTTCGAGCCCCACGTTGGGCGAGTAATCTCTTTTTCTTCTATTTTTCTATATTTGTGTCGTATGTTGTTTAGCAACTAATATTTATTCTAAGCAGACCAGCTGACAAATGCTTAACTATTACCTATGGCTGGCAGTAAACAACGGCCCATTAGCTCAGCTGGTTAGAGCGTCGTGCTAATAACGCGAAGGCCGCGGGTTCGATCCCCCCATGGGCCAGGAGTTACTTTTTTGTTTGTTTATAATTTTTGTATTATTATTCTGTCATTCCTAAATGATTCTTGATAAGTTTTGATTTTATCTCAAGCCCTTTTTTAGTCCTCTCCTATGTGAACTTTATAAATATTAAACTTTTGATCAAGTGAAAAGGCAAAGTAAGGATCAAAAAATATTATTCTGGCCCATGAGGGGATCGAACCCGCGACCTTCGCGTTATTAGCACGACGCTCTAACCAACTGAGCTAATGGGCCTCTTGACGCCATCTTGTATTCAGGATGTTTTTCAAAAAAGCTGGACAAATTTAAATTTCTTATGTTATAGACGATCCAAAAGAAGAATCAATACTAGATCGCACCAGCGATATGGAAGCTACTCACAAATATGTGGAATTCTTATATTGCAATCAACAAAGTTAATTAAGGCTATGTTCCGGTACTTATTGGGACTTATTGGGTACTCGAAATCCAGTAAGAACATCGATGAACCAAAATATTTCGAAAAAAGGAGAATCAACTCTGGCCCATGGGGGGATCGAACCCGCGGCCTTCGCGTTATTAGCACGACGCTCTAACCAGCTGAGCTAATGGGCCATGTGATCACAGCGGTCAATATGTCCAAATTGACTCTCTCGTAGCAAAGCGGTTAGGAATGCAAGTGCTAAACTTAATAGAATAGAATAGCTTAACAGAATTTCAATTTAATGACTTACCAATGGGATGATTGTTAGTATAGTTTTAATTTATTGCACGCTGAAGACAGAAATCGATCGCATAACTATGGCCATATCACTGTAATAAAAGAGAAAAAATATTCGGTCATAAATAAAACACACAAACATGTACTACACAATGGAAGAATGTCAGAAAAGGCATCAATGAAATATTTGTTCCCATGCATGCACCATGAAAGGAAAACTAATAAAGAAATAAAGAGAAAATAGCCATAAGAAGGGAGAGAAAATAAGTGGGAAACGTAGAGCGATGAATGCATGCTTCGTGGATGCAAAATGAAGTGATATGGGGGCCATATGAGGCGGTGGTGGAGGAAAACCGAGAGCCGACGCAATACGTTTTCTGTGGTGTAGGTTAGGGCAAAAAAAGCTCCCCCACGCACACACTCACACACACACGAGTGTACAGGGATACAGATACGTGTGATAGGGGTAGACGGGGGTGAAGGGGTGCATACTCGTAACTTCAATAGGCCTGTCGTCCCGTCCGACAACTTGCAATTGTCGAAGAATAAGCGTAGAAACAGGCAGACGGTGCAAAAGAGCTGCAAGAGATGAAAGCAAAATGCTGAAGAATTGCAACGAAGCAGACTACGACCGGATGACGATGAGGAGGAGGAGGCGGTGCTGTGGTGCAGTGGTACTGTGGTACTGTGGTGGGGACAGACGCAGAGGCAGGCATTCTGCCCGATGTCAGGGGCATGAAGTTGCAATGAAAATGAAATTGCAAGCGGCCCATAGACATAGACAGACACAGAGACAGGCGGGATATATTTATACATGTCGCTGTCCCTGTCTGTGTGCGTATAGCCGTGCATCTGTGTGTGGTGCACATTATATTTAGTTACTTGTGTCTGGTTCTACTGCATTCTATGCGGCAGTTTCTAGATATGTATCTGCGAGATACATTTCAGTCGGATAGAGAACCCAGCGAGAACTCTGCTGAACACCCAACACAACACAATTCTCTCTGCGCTATTTTCGCTTTCAACGACCGTTTTGTCCGTCCGTCCCTCCCTGTACGCCGATGGATGATGCGACTGACGGGCCGAAGTTGCAACCCAAAATGGAGGACGAAGATGTCTGTAGCATGCAGTGTATGTAGTTTGCTGCCAGACCAGTTTCCGATTGTTGCAGGTTAATGGGGCTCTGAAGAGGGGCCTGTTTCCAAGCCAAGAATATAGTTTTATAGAGGGCTTAAGATCCTCTATTTTGCGTCTTCGGAGTTGTCAACTCTTAGCCAGAATTTAACCAGTCCAGAATAAAACTAAAAGCTCTTGAAGCTTACAAACTTTGATACATAGTGTGACATTCTTCTTTGCTCCGAAATCTCACTTGGAGCAAGATGAAGGTCAATATTGTCAATACAGACTTTTTTTGTAAGCAAATTACACAATTTACGACACTTGTAAGTCCAAAGTAATTGGAGTGTACCTCTAGAATCTAGACCTGCATCAACTGCACTACACTGGCAGAGTGCTTAGAATGAATGCATAATATATAAACTAAAGAAAGCAGGGCTCCCAAAAATCTAGGAATCACGTTTGTTTCAGGTTCATGCAGGGCTACATAACCATTAAGTTGAAATCGGTAGTAGCTAGAGAACCTCTGGATTGTCCAGAGTCTAGACTCATGCATTAAGTACTGAAAGGTGGAGAAGGGGGCAAGGGTGGGGTAGTACAAGTCGCTGAACGAGTTAACCGCGTCGCCAGCAGAGCCAGTGGCAGCGAAGCGACGCCTCTGTTGAGGCCTACAAACACACATAGGAAACGAGAAGAACGTGGGCAGAAAGAGAGCCAGTGAGGAGAGAGACGACGGCGACCAAAAGCAAGACGGAGAGCATCACACGAACGGAGAATGTAGTGGTGTATGTAAATGGAGAAAACGACAGCTAAACAAACAGCATGAACAACAAAACTACACAAAGTAGAATGAGAAGCAGAAAAACAGAAACAACAACAACAAGAACTTATTGTTGTTCCGCTTTGACACAGCTTTTCGTTCGCTTTCAGCCGAAGCAGACGATGAAAACAAAAAAGTACGTAAAAACAGACCGTCGAAGAGAGAGACGAAGAGCGGCATAAAGTCGAAGAACAGCCAGCCGAAAGCGAAACATCAGATAGCACAGAGAAGCAGAGATGGGCAAGGAAGACAAGACACTCGAAAAAGAGGATGCAACTTACCGAAAAGGAGACGATAGATGGTTGAACACAAATATTATTTACATTTAACACTTTGTAATTTTGCTATTTTACATAGAACTCGCACACACACAAGCACAAACACAAACACTTACAGGCAGCTCGCTGGCTCTCTGGGACGCTTGCGACAGTTATTCTCACACAGAGTTTAAGGCCTACTATCATCCCATCACAGATCGAATCCCAACTTAAGCGCACTTTTCTTTATAAAAACACACGACACTTTTTTTAGTTATAAACAAAATATGAGAGCAGCGCGGCTAGTTTCGAGGGATTTCTGTTTCTCTTTGTCATTTGCCGCACAAGTAAAACGTTTGCATTTGGATTCCGAAGCCGCAACGGACTTTCCCGAGTTCAGAAACAAATTCGACGCAATCTTTCCGTTCCGTTTCCGCGGGCACGTTCAATCCGTTCGCGAGTTGGGGAGCGACATGCCCGAAATGTTTCATTCATGCTCACGAGCTTGGGGGCGGCAAGGCCGATTCAAATACGCCCGCTTTCGAATGTTGCACGAATGTGTGTTGCCGGTGAGTTAGAAAAGGGAATGGCCCACAAGCGAATCGGCCCAAAAAACACAAGGCATGCAAGGTAGAATCCACCCTGTTACTAAACATACTGTGAAGAGAGCTCATTTTTGCGTTTTAAGTATGAGTCCGTTGGTGTTGCCGCTGGCTTTGGAGCCGTTGGGGCAGCTAACACTGCTAATGGCACTGCTTGCAGTCGATAACAAGGTTATTTTACTTGAATAACAAACCTGATTGCATATATGTGAAACTTTTGTCACTCGGTTTCCAACGGGTCCTGTGGCGCAATGGATAACGCGTCTGACTACGGATCAGAAGATTCCAGGTTCGACTCCTGGCAGGATCGCAGAAATATCTTTTTTTTAATCTAATCGTTTTTTCTATTTAGTTATTTTGTAGTTGTTCATTGTTAGACTTTTTTAAGTCAAAAACCTTTTCGTTAACTTTTCTAAACCATTTTCCAAACTTATTCCAATTCAAAACGACAGACAGACAACAAAAATAAATTCAAAAAGTTAATTTCGCCCAACGTGGGGCTCGAACCCACGACCCTGAGATTAAGAGTCTCATGCTCTACCGACTGAGCTAGCCGGGCATTTGGACAGACGTTGGCAAAGTATATTTCTGACCTGCATTGTGACCATAGCTTTTTCCCATTGATTTCGTATTGACTCGTTTCTTAAGAACTTACGTTACTTTCATTTCAGACGTTTGTGTGATAATATTATTACAAAAATATTCAATTTCCAAAGCTTGTTTAGTGAAAAGCTCATATTATAGAGCTTATAAATCTTGGCAACCATTGGACTCAGAGCTGATATGCGGTCCTGTGGCGCAATGGATAACGCGTCTGACTACGGATCAGAAGATTCCAGGTTCGACTCCTGGCAGGATCGAATTTTTTTTATTTCTTGAAATTACTTGTCACATTTTTTGTACTTCTTCAGAGAATGGAACTTGCTTAGGTCTCGATTTCGCACTTACACCTTACACCCCCCGTACGTGTCATTCAAACGTGTTTGAGTGAGTCTCTGAGTTTTGCGCATTAAGAAAGCAGCCAAGATGTGGGGTAGGGCCACGGATATGATGGGGATTTGGGATTCAATGACAAAGTGCAGCTGCGGTGGCTCAGCGCAAATCAAATGGTATAGTGTTGAGAGCGTGTGGATTATTTGGCGCTTTATGTTAAACAGCTGAAACTTTCCACTCAGCAACCAGAGGGGTTAGATGCGGCTTATAGGACGCCAAGGACTTTTAAGGTGAGATTTAAGCGATACCTTTCGAGGGGGACAGTGCTGTTCTTCTGCGTGTGACTGCTGAAAATTATTTTGAACAAATGAACATCAATACACATGCAAAAATAAAGTCCATAGTTTGAAAATATAGCAAAAATGATTATCATTTTTGAAAAAAATTTCGATCCTGCCAGGAGTCGAACCTGGAATCTTCTGATCCGTAGTCAGACGCGTTATCCATTGCGCCACAGGACCACTTGCCTTTCGAGCGCCCAAAAACAGTTTTCTTCTGTGCCTTATTAAATATTTTCGATTCGAAAAAATGCTTGAAAATTGTATCGCAAGCTTATTTAAACATAATAGAAACAAAAGTATTTGAAGAAGGTATTTATGCTGATCCATTTTGTGTGGGACTTAAATATCAAAAATATTTTGAAATCATGTTAAAATATATATAAGCCAAAACTTCTTGGTTGGTTAATGTAGCAGAAATATTGAAAGGAAACAAAAAATCTAGTCGATCCTGCCAGGAGTCGAACCTGGAATCTTCTGATCCGTAGTCAGACGCGTTATCCATTGCGCCACAGGACCGTTGAGTCACGCCGGCGCTAAGCTTTACTTAAGTCCACAGCATAATCGGTTTTGGGTCTATTTTCAGATCACTTAATAAACAAACAAAAAAAAAACGTGAATAAATAAAACGAAAAATGATAATACACTCAAGAATACTTGTATGTAAAGGTGATCGATGTAGGTAGATAATGCGAGAGACAGAGAGAGGGACAGTTGTATAGATTGCATGACCCGAAAGAGCTATCAATAAATGCCATCAATGGTAAATGTAAGTCGATCGGCGCTTTGATACAAGTGCCATACCATATTAAAAAGTAATAAAATAAAGCCTGAAGAATATCTAAAAACAATAACAATTGATAACAGGCAGGCAAGACTCTGGTGCTAGCACAAACACAGGGCGTAGGAGCTGCCATCTAATCATGCCTCAACAAACTGAACGGAACACTCTTGCTGAGTCCCAGCCTAGACTGTACTCGGAGTCGCTGGGAGCTGCAATTCATGCCAACTTTTAGTCAAGTCATCAGAGCTAGGCAAAAAAGTTTGCAAGGCAAACATTATATAGCGGGTTTTGGCATACCCTTATCACTAGGGAGGATGTATTGGCTTGGCTGCCAGCCATTGTTGTGGCATTTGCTGATAAGCGAAACTGTTAGAGCATCTACGTTGTGGCTATATTACAGCAAAGCTATGGCCGATTGACATGGTTGCTTTATAAGCAACTGCGTTAGCTGGCAGGCAAACAGTTGCTCGCTGTACGATCATGTCCACTGAGCTACTTTTTTTGATCGCCACCTTGGCGATTGTGTTCTATGTGTGGCAGAAGCGTCGCCATAGCTTCTGGAAGCGCCATGGAATAAAGGAAATCGGCCCACTGCCCATATTGGGTGATACGGTGGGCTTCCTTAGCGGCAGAATGCCGTTCTTCGATCAGATCAGGAAGTTCCATCAGACTCCGGGGCTTGAGAATGAGCCCATCATTGGGGTATACCTGGCATATCGGCCAGCTCTGGTTATACGCGATCTGGAACTGATCAAGACGGTGATGATCAAGAAGTTCAGTTACTTTAACAATCGCAAACTGCAAACGGATCCGCATCACGATGCCCTCGGCTACAACAATATGTTCTTCGTGCGCAGTCCCGACTGGAAGGAGCTGCGCAACAAGATCTCGCCGGTCTTTACCTCGGGCAAGATCAAGCAGATGTATCCACTGATGGTTAAGGTGAGCACGAGTCGAAGAAACTTGGAAATATGTTCCATGGCTAATAGTTTTGTTTTGCCAACAGATCGGCAAGAACTTGGAGGACAATATTGCGCGTCAGGAGAACAATTCCATCGTGAAGATCAAAAGTCTGTGCGCCCGCTTCACCACCGATCTGATTGCGACCATTGCCTTTGGCCTGGAAGCAAATGCCCTGCAGGATCCCAAGAGTGAATTTTTCCATCATAATCAAGCCATCTTTACGCCATCCTTCAGTCGTGGCATTGACTTTGCCATCATCTTCATGCTGCCAGGCTTAGTCAGATTGGCCAGGGCGAAAGTATTCTCCAAGTCCACATCCAACTTTATTCGCAGCACCGTCAATTATGTGATGGCGGAGAGAGAAAAGTCGGGGCTGCGGCGCAACGATCTTGTGGATATTCTGCTGGCACTCAAACGTGAGGCTGCCGCCAGTCCCGACAAGAACAACAAGGCCAAGAACATGGACTTTTTGATAGCACAGGCAGCGGTGTTCCAGACTGCCGGCTACGAGACCAGCTCCTCCACCATGACGTTGGCCCTGTACGAGCTGGCCAAGAATGAGGAGACGCAGAGGCGTTTGCGACAGGAGATCGAGGAATCATTCGGCGTCGAGGATCACATAAGCTACGACCGCATTCAGGAGATGCCCTACCTAACCAAGGTTGTCAACGAAACACTTCGCATGTACCCGATTGTGGGCTATGCCGAACGTGAGTGTGCCCAGCCCGCTGAGGGTGAACGCTTCACCCTGGCGCCCCATCACGACATGGAGCTGCCCGATGGCATGCCCGTCTATGTCTCTGCCATAGGCATACAGCGGGACCCCAAGTACTGGCCCCAGCCAGATAAATTCGATCCGGAGCGCTTCGATCCCGCCAACAGGGATAAACTGAACATGGATGCCTACATGCCCTTCGGTGTGGGTCCCCGCAACTGCATTGGCATGCGCCTGGGTCTGCTCCAATCGAAGCTTGGACTCGTCCATTTGCTGCGCAATCATCGGGTGAAATGGTGCGACAAGACCGTGAAGACAATCGAATTTGCACCCATGACAGCTGTCCTTGCCAGCAAGCATGAGATTTACCTCAGGGTCGAGCGGGTTGCGGCCTAGGATCTGTGTTGCAGATTCTGTTTGGTTTTATCTGCAACGTAGATGTAAATATTGTAGCCAGTTTATAAATTGTTATTTCAACTATTTTTAGTAATTATTACTTGTTATTCATTATTTATTGGCGCTAGAAATTCAACTTGAGCTCAGTCTACACTCGACAAAGCGCTTTATGTGTCATTATGATTACTTTGAATGCCTCTCAATGCCCGTTATTATTTGTTGCCCAACCTGTTTTTAGTCGCACTTGACGGGGCTTAGTTAAATCAGAGTTGAATGACGTGCATTAATTATCTATAATCCCCACACATCGGTGGGATTACTCAGCTCTTACTCAATCAGTGACGCTTTGGCAAGGCTATTGCTTATGTAACCGCTTAGCCTTGCTTCCCCCCTGGCATTCGCAGCACTCCCTGTCAAGGACACCCCGTGGACAATTATCCTTCAAGCAAACTGTCATAATGGCTTGCCACAGCAGCTTGTTGGCCGGCAAGTTGCAACATAAAAAGTTTTAGCTCACTTCCACTACACAACACAAGCTGTTGGTTGCTTTTTGTCCATGTCCTGTCAGGACATGGACACATTCACACACTGAAAGCACTTAACGCACTTAATGCAATTGTCAATTTACTCTCTCGGCACCAGAGTTGAGCATCTCGGAGTGGGCAGGGCTGGAAGTCGCCCAATGAGCGGCTTCCATTGAGGAGGAGTATTCACGTCATGGCCTTCTAGGGGTTGGCTAATTATACGTGGAGTACCGGCCATTACATGAGTGTGTGGCTGATACGCTGATGAGTGGTTTGGGTTTGCACAATGCTGGAAATAGATGCATACCTGTGGCTGGTTATTATCACTGAGGAGTATGTCTTTAGATGGCATAGATTAGGGGATTTTTTTGTGAACTTAAGGAGCTAAATATATATATTTATTTGCCATAACTATGAGGTATTTTTAGGTAGAGAGAATAATTGGTTTGACTTCCCAAAGGGAACTGGAATCTCCCAACGGAAGTTTTTATACACGAAATCTATTCAAAATCCCTGGACTCTACTTCCCCCAATCCTGCTCCATCTACTGACTCTACTCTCTCCCCTGTATTCCTTTTCTGTGGGCACTTAAAACCTTTCCCTGTGGATGGCTTATGCTTTCCTCTCACATGCACATGTAAGACAACAAAAATTTACGTGCCCCGGCAACGTGAAATAAAATGACATCAAATTTAATGATAAACTACAGTTAAGCCAATTTACAGTTGAGTTGTTCTCTAGTAAGGGGTGGTGCAACTGCAACTGCCACTGCCACTGCCACTGCCAGGGGCACTGGGAAATGCGTGGCACGCAACTGAATGACTTTGCACTGACCTTCGTGTCGGATTTGCAAGCCGGGGCAATGGGTGGGAGCGTATCGAAAATCGCGTGCCACACTTTTATATTGCGTAACTTTTGCTACCTTTTCGAGGGAGTGGCTTTGTCTTTCGATTGAATTGCACTGCCACAGCCACTGCCAATGGCATCGAACACGGAAAGCCACTCGAAAAAAACGAGGGAGACTGCAACTGCACCTTTAGAGTCCCTGCCAGATGCCTGATGGCAGTCGGCCATTAGTTTTAATTAGCTAGTGGCGCATCCACGAATGTCTTTCTGCTAGATTACGCTCGGATGCAGCATCATAAACGAACTGCAACTGAGATAAAGCTTTGCCTTGAGCCAGTAATTGCATGCAAATCGACATTAAATTAATAAACTCGCAAATTGCACGCGTTTCCCCCCCTCTGGTTTTTGCTGGTCTTCTAATTAGCTGGAAACTTTTTACCCCAACGGAGATCCTTCCTTCTGACAGCGCGGAGTACGCGTATATTGGCAAAATTTGTTAATTAAGACGGAAGAAATGGGCTGCCCTGGGTCACCCTCTGTCACACTGTCTTTAGCTTTGATGGCGGACATTTGGGGAATGCGCACAAAAGGAACGACCACGATACAATCTTAATGAAGCATTTCGACTCGGTTGCCCTGATTCTTAGGGGATAAGAGTAGCAGCAGGGACCAAGGGTCTTTAAGGTCTTAAAATTAAAGTATTTAGTGGAAAGAAAAGTTATAAGAAGGGCAAGGACTTGATCAGAAATCACTCAATTCCACTCACTCCAGCCTCCTGTCAATTATCGCAGCAGCCTTGTCCAATCTCACGCGAATGACATTCACCGGAAGGACTTTGAAAGTGAGCAAGTTGAGGGTCCACCAAGATGTATTTCTAACGCCATAAAACAAAGCTAAGCGTTTGACGACCTTCGCTTTACGTGCTGCGAAAATGTTCAACAGCTGAAAGCCAAGAACAAACCCCCTATCCCTGCGGCAAACGCATAAATTAGATTGAGGAAGGAGCTGCAGGAGCTGCAGGAACAGCATTCATTGGACGACGTTTCGTTGCATTTATCCTGCTTGACTTTCTTGTGACTTGTGGGGGAGTGGGCATGTCCTTTGGCAGCATCAAGCAACCAATTTAATTGCAATTTTTCCGTTTCCTTGCAAGCAACGAACCAAGCAAAGACAAATAACCAAAGCTAATAGATCATGTCATCTTGTCAACAAGTTTTACCATTTAATTGCGCACATTCAACAAAGGGCCAACTGGAAACTGCTCAATTTGTTCAACAAAGTGGAGAATGTGCGGAAAATTGACTCAATTCTGGGTTCGTTTTTATATTGCGACATCAAAATTCCACAATCCAATTTATTTATAGATTTATATAAATATTCATGTTGCCAACGCGGAAATGTTTAAGAAATGTGGAAGATACATAAATTCTCATTTTAATTATGCAAAGAACTATTTTATATAACTTACAGAGAACCGATCTTCATGCTCTTCCCGATATACCAGCATTTTGCGATCCGTCATGCAAGTGCCCGGCTAGCTCAGTCGGTAGAGCATGAGACTCTTAATCTCAGGGTCGTGGGTTCGAGCCCCACGTTGGGCGAAAATAAACTTTTTTGTAATTTTTATTGCAGCTATTTTAAATGGGAATAAATTTTGTAAAATTCTGAAATAGATTACGTAATCTTTTTGAAAACAATCAGTAGTATTATATATTTAAATTTAGAAAATAATATTAATATTAAAAAACGAATAAAAAAATGTCTGCGATCCTGCCAGGAGTCGAACCTGGAATCTTCTGATCCGTAGTCAGACGCGTTATCCATTGCGCCACAGGACCCGTTAGTATTGGGGCGTCTAAATACTGGTTTGCGCTTTCAAAGAAATATGTAAATGGGTTGGGGTTAAAGTTAGCTTAACCCTAAAAATATCGGTTTATGGAAAAATTGTTTAAACAAAAACTGGTTAGTGCTTCATGCGTTCTGTAGTTTATGTTGGAAAGAAAGAAAAAAATGCTGTGATGGACTGAAATAGAGCTGGCATTTTGATATATCATTTGTATATCCAAAATATACTTTATCTAACCAAATACTTATAAATCAGATATTGATATTCCCAATGGAGAACACAAATTTAATAGTTATTAGGTTACAAATATATCAATTGTACAGAACTGTTGATGATGAAAACAAAGAAACGTATAATTCATTACTAATTTAATAATTTAAAAAAAATTTTAAAAATAAACTTCTGCGATCCTGCCAGGAGTCGAACCTGGAATCTTCTGATCCGTAGTCAGACGCGTTATCCATTGCGCCACAGGACCAGTTGTTATATAGGGTGACTAATTGCTGATTTCCGATATTGACAAGATATGGAAAGGGTTGGGGGTTAGACAAGATTTAGCAGATTACCAAAGGGAAAAGTTCCAATACTTTTAGAACATTTTGTAAGTAAATGGAAAATACCCAAATACTCTACCAATACCCTTGGCATTCTGTTCCTTGTCATCCCCCTACGAATTGAATGACCTTGTTTGCAATGTGAACCTTTGTGCAGAATTGCCAAATGCAAATGCGAATCTGAATCTGAATGGGGGAGGGACATTCACAGAAATCATATTACGCATACGCCCCCATACACACACAGAATGCTGTAGCAATTTTTGATTTTATGTCAATTTCCCAGCACTCTTAAAGGGAATAGAAAGGCAAGGAATAGAATGGAATACAGCGATCTGTGTTTGCACATTTCGCTTGTTGCCCGAGCACCAAAGGGACTCGTAAACACTTGGCCAACACGCAAACCCACGCAGAAAGAGAGAGAGAGAGCGGAAAAAGGGGGACAAAGGAAGTGTGCATTGAGATTGAGTGGGGAAAAAGTTGGACCGAGGGGTTCGTTCGTTTGGTTCAATCCTTGACCCGTCATAACGTCGTCCCCTTCGCCCAGCTGACAGCAGAGTTAAATGAGATATGCTTTTACATTTTTTCGATAAATTTCTTGCACTTGCACTGGGATCCGACAGCTATTTTGGTGGGGGAGGGGAGGGATAACATTATTAGCAAAGAGAGCGAGCGAAAAACTTTAACATAAAAATGGCAAACGGATTTGGCGCAGAGCTTGGAAATTGAGATTTACTGTGGAGCAATATTTATGGCAAACGCCAAACTGCAAAGTGCAACGAGTGGAAAGCGGAAGGGGGGAAGAACCCAACGAAGCTAAACCAATTTGAACAAAGTGCTTAGTTATCCCAGAATCCGCTGCTTATCGAGTGACAGTCGTGATGAATGCGAAAGGCAATTAGGAGGAGCCAAGTCAAGGGTAAGCAATCGCTATATAAGGATTATGTCCACACTCTACTGCCATAAACTAAACCAAGATGCGCTCCCTGTCTCTGATCTGTTTATTCTTCGGCCTGGTCTGGGCCCAAACGACTCCATCGGGCGAAGAAGACAGCACCGCATCGGACATTGCATTCTCGCCGTTCATTGTCACCGATGGCAAGTACGCGCTGGGCACCTTTGCCAAAGTAAACTGGTACCAGGCCCAGGCCACCTGTGCCTCCTACGGTTACACTCTGGTCAGCATCACCACGGAGAGCGATCAGCGGGCGGTGCGCAATTTCCTGTACACCCGCGGCAATGCCCAGCTACCGCTGCTGGACGCACCCTTGTGGACCTCGGGCACGGATCTGGCCAATGAAAACACCTGGATTTGGTTCAGCAATGGACGCAGCTTCACCTATCGCAACTTCCAGAACGGTCTGAGCTACTATCCCAGCTCCAACAAAAACTGCATAGCCGTCTATGCCATCACTGGTGCCTGGGTGAACGAGGACTGCAGCGAGCAGCGCTACTTTGTCTGTGAGAAACGTTGCCTGTTCGAGGACTAGACTATGTGTCCAAGCAATAACGGTGTTGGCTTCTAAATATGTACAAGCAGCAATAAAATAATCAGCAGCAAAACAGAATTTAATGATTTTTGGAATGTCTTCGAATGAAGGCCATGAAGTCAGCTTGAGGCGCTACACAGTAGTCTTTGCATCAGTCAGCTTTTGATTGAGCAGTAGCCACAGCTTTCGGCAGCATTAAGCTTCTGGCAGCACTAAGCTCTTGCATTTGCTCAAACAAAAGCTGACTGATGCGAATAAACTTTATGGCGTATTTTAATTTGTGGAACTTTTCTACAACAGTTACGGGCTTGGGTGTTGTTGAAGTAAGATTTAAGATTTATTCCAATATCCTTTTTTTAAGGTTTTCTCAGCACTATGAAACAAACTCAAACTTCTTGTAGATACTTTTTCGCATTCAATTGCACTTCAAACATATATTTGATTGTTTATATTGGTCTCATTCAATAGACAAATATTCTCGCATATAAAACTGAACTTCTCATTACAGGGTGCACTGTGCCACTTGGTGTACTGGCCCAGCACAAGGCAAGCAGTGCCGTGAGTTTTATCCGAACGGGGCTCCTTCCTGCCCCAGCGACTGTACGTCATGGGTAGCCCAGTGCTCAGCCAGGTCCATGTCCCCAGGCTGCTGCGTTCCACCAGATTTGTGGCGCCCAACCAGAAGCGTTTATCGGCCAAACCCAAATCTAAGAGAAAGGTTTAACATTAAAGGGGGTTGCCTTGTGGGTCATGGCTTTTCTTACTACTTCGTTTGACACGCTGCAGCATGAGCGAATGCTGATCCCGATTATTTACAGTAGCCAGCACGGCTCCCACACTGTTGCATATTTGATGGGCCTCGAACCAGTTGACCTGCAGAGACCAAAACATAAGCACAGAAAAATCTGTAACCTTTGGCTTACCTTAGCAAAGGTCGCCACAGAATAATGTTCATCGCATTGCAGCAAAGGATTACAGTTCGCACCGAATACGAACTCCAACTTGGTATTATTCGAGGCTGCAGTGGCACCACAGACAGCGATGAGCAATATTAAAATCATTTTAAACAGAGTTCTGCCCCAACTGCTACCCTTTATATATTCTGAGCGATAAGAATGCCATCAGAAGTCGCTCAAAAAGCAATTACTTATCCGAAAACTGAACGCTTGATTATTATGTACTCTGGCAGAGTATTTTCTAGGAAAATATAAAATTTTTTATTTAATTGCAAACAAATTGTAAACGATTTTTTCTTTACAAAAACTTGTCCCCAGATATTGCTTAATATTCAAATACAGACAGGCCTAGGTGAGTGTGTGTGTGTGTGTGTGTGTGTGTGCGTTTGGCCCACTAACAATTAATAGTTATAAAATATTCAGCGTTTGCATTTGCATCATCTTTACATCTTTACAATAATTATTATTATTTTATATTTATATATTTATCATCATTTGAACACTAAAGCTAGAAATTAATTTAAATAAACACTGATATGGGGGAGAAAGGAACCCTAAGTCTGACTCAAGTAACATTTAGACATAATGCTAAATATATCTACATATGTAATTACATATGCATGTAGTTATGGTATGTAGAATGTAGTATTTGTGTGTAGATGGTACCTTAAGTTGTGTGACTTGGGCGCTCTTCTGCTTGAAATGTTTCGCTTTCGCATAAATAAATGAGCTGATAAATTTTCGATGGGTGCACACTGCTTTGTGGCAGTGTGACCCTGTTGGTGTTTGCCTCAACTGACGCGGGAGGGGCAAGCTACAGAATGAAGACAAAATCGGCTGAGAGTTAGTTTCGTTTGAAGGTTTGCCCTAACTTAATTGGTATAACATGTTGACAAGACAATTTGCTCTGCTCTGCTCCAACTCCAACTCCCTCTCTCTCTCTCTCTCTCTCTCTGTACTCCTGTCTCTCTTTTTGTTGCCTCCATTAATTCCTTCTCTAATGATAGTAATCCCCATACTGGTAAGTGGGTGGCTGTTTGGTGGCCTTGTGGCCACTCTTGTGTGGCTGGTAGAGATTGTGATGCGAGGATGAGCGATAGGCGAAGCTGGGCGGCGGTGCAGTCTCTGGTTGGCGCAGTGCGGGCGATTGAGTGCGTCGCGCACGACGCTCCTCGATGTTCGCCGGCCAGCGTTGATGGTGGCGCGTCGAGTCCTCCGAGGAGCGCCTGCGATGGTAACGCTTGGCAGAGGATGCATGCCCCAGTGGTGGCAGTGCGGCAGTCGGTGGTGAGTCCCGGCCTGGCTGCTGCCTATAGCTGCCCTCGTCCCCGCTGCCCCCGCTCAGCATTGCTCGATCTTGGCTGGTGTACGGACGCCGCAGTCGCTCATCCACGGAGGAGTTGGGCGTGCCCTGCATGATGTCAATGACGTCGCCGTGGGAGTTGCGACGCGCTCGCTGCATGTCCATGTCGTAGTTCTCGTACGGGCTGCGTCGCTGCCGGCTGCGCTGCTGCTGCTGCTGCTCGTGGGCGTCCAGCCGCTGGCGCCACTCGGCCGCCGACACCTGCTGGCCGTAGAGATCGGGCTGTGCCTGGAACTGGGCCTGCACATGGCCGGCAATAATGCTGGCATTGGGGCCGTAAATGTTCTGGTAGGAGGAGCGACGCCAACCCTCCTCGTAACGCCGGCGGGGATCCTGTGTCGCGGCCTCCTCTTCGGCGGCGGCGTTGGCCAGCTGCTGGCGACGCTGCGAACGACTGGAGCTGCTCTCCGACGAATCCTCGCCCGAGGTGCCCAGTCCCTGGTCCTTCTCGTCCACTCCATACGCCTTGTAGGGCGCGCCGAGGAAGCCCTTGGAGCCGTAGGGTCCATTGATGCCCATCGTGGGGTACTGCATGTAGTAGGACTGGGAGAAAGGCTTCTCCTGCTTGCGCTCGTCCAGGCTGTCATCGATCTCGTCCTCGCTGCCATCATCCCGCCCCGTCCAGGTCAGGCAGGAGCCGGGCCCAAAGAGGGAGAGCAGCACAGGGAGCAGGAACAGGCCGTGCATGGCGCCAAAGAACACGACCAGAAAGACCATCTTGAAGAAGACCAGGAAGATGTAGCTCTGTGCCAGCAGCAGCGCCACAATGCCGAGAATCGTGGAGCTGGAACCCTGAATGATGGGCAGCCCCAGCGAGTGGAGCGCCTCGCGGACACGTGCCTTCGGACTGCGCTTCTTCGAGGACATGTAGGTGTAGCAAATGTGAGCGGTAAAGTCCACCGAAAAGCCAATGCACATGATGAGATTGATCATCGAAATGGAATCCAGGTTGACATCCCACAGGGCCATGTAGCCCGCGACGCCAAGCTCAATGGAAATCACAGAGAAGGCCACCCACAGCGAGCAGAGAATGTTCGGGATGAAGATGAAGGAGATGATCATCATGATTATAGCTCCAATGATCATGGCCTGCAGCGAGACGGGACGCACCAGCTCGAACTGATCAAAGAACACGAAATACGGATGGAAGATCGAAGCGTTCAGCGGAGAGTCGCGGCAGATTTTTCGCAGATCCCGCACCATTTCCTTCTCATGATTGGTGTCCGTAATGTTCACAGCCTGAATGAGGAAACGCGAGGCAATGATCTGCGTCTCATCATCGTTGAAGCGCACATCCAGCGAGAAGGGATTGCCGGGGAAGAGCCAGTGCTCCTTGACCGCATCGATGAAGGATTGCTCATCATCGATGGTGGCATTCAGCAGCTCGTTGTTGCGCTCCAGGAAGGACAGGAACGAGCGCAGCCAGGACTCGGTGTAACGTTTGGACGTGACATACGAAGTGTGCTCCAAAGTGCTCGTCAGATTCTCCACCTGCTGCTGCACCAACGGATCCGAGTAGTTCAATGGACCGGCAATGATTACCTGCGAAAGACAAAGAGTCAAAGATTAGCTGACAGTTGCTAGAGCTCCTTGGGCACCACTCACCTGCATGCGATAGGGAAACTCTCGATAGTAATCATCCTCACGATCGAAAAACTCCACAGAGTACGAGTCCTCGCGGGACAACTTGCGCCGCTCGAGGCCCTCCTTGATCTGCGTAATGCCATAGCAGGCACCCGCAAGATAGGTGGCAAAGGCCAGTATAATGATTATTTTGCACCACTTGTTGTTGATCACAGTGGACATTTTGTCCTTAAAGAAAGCCATCAGCATGTGATCCTTGTTGTCAATGGGATTATCGGGATCGGCGCCATCAATGCCGCCCGCCATGAGCGCCTTGTAGAGGAAGTTGCGTTTCTCTATGGCAGACAAAAAGTAAAGCGAGACAGAGACAAGCAGAAAGAAGTGTTAAGAGCTGTGAGACAAGTTCCCATTGACCTCAATTTGTGTCAGGCAGTGGCTTGCCACAGCCACAGCAAATGGCACTGCCACTGCCACTGCGACTGCGACTGCGACTAGTCTAGTTTTTGTCACGATCAAGTTCATGTTGCAGCTGCAGCTCTTAGCTGTAAGCCGGTTGTGGTTCTGGCCACATTTCAATTGGACTTTGGATCATCATCGATACAAAAAGCAAAACAAAAGCCACACTCCCCTCAGTTCACTCACCTTTAATCGCCACCGACATCGGCTGCACTCGACAACCGAATATGGAATGCAAATTCTTGCGCTCCCTGTACCCCGAGATGGCCATGCATGCCGCAAAGAATGTGATGTGCCACAGGAACGTGAAGCATACGGCAAAGCCTGAATAGGTGCAGAATATCCTCACCGAACGGAAGGGGCTGATGATGCCAATCAGAAACGAAATAAAGTCAGTGACCGAGGTGATTGTAATGGACACTGCCGCCTCGGACATCATGTGTCCCATGCGCTCGGCCACCGGCATTTTGGCTTTGGTGCGTCGCCAGGCAGCCAACATCACAAATGTGTCATCAATGCCAATGCCTGGAAGGAGAAATTGGGAATAGATTTAGCTTAAAGAGAGCCTAGGAGGAGGGACAGCTCTCCACTTACCAATCATCAGAAAAGGTGCCGCCAGATTGATGCCGATGAACTCAATGCCGCAGTACATGGCCAGGCCAAAGGCTGCCAGTGTAGCCATAATGGCCGACACATTGCCCATCAGTCCGAGGAAGGGC